TATTGTTCAAGTTGTGAGTGGTGGTATAATTACACTCCTAGTATTTGACAGGTTGAGGCAGGAGGATCTCCATGAGTTCAAGGCCAGCCTGGGCTACATAGTGAGTTCAAGGCCAGTCAGAACTACTTAATGAGACCCTGTGTCAAAACAAACAAAAAAACTAAAATATATATAAAATTTACCACGTAATTCTGCTTTCTGCTGGGATGTTACTTCTATATTCTATATGCACGTAGGGATTCTGTTTATTCCCAGAACAATGGTCCTGAACATCTAATATGCATGCAATGTTTTTTGTCTGATGGTGAATAATATTGAGCTAAAAGAAAATACTGGAAGTCTTATATGCAGGATTAAAATTTATAAAATAGGGATTGGGGGGATTGCTCAGTGGAATAAGTGCTTCTCTGACTAGTGCAAGGGCCTGAGTTCAATCCCTGGTTCCGAAAAAAAAAAATTACAAAATATCCTCCTTAGGACTGTCATTTATCCCATTTAAAATTATTGCTGTTTTATTTGAATTCAATCCAACAGCTATTTCTGCAATTCTTTGTGTTACCATTGCCTGTGGATTTTTATTGAAAATATTGCTTAGGATATTATTTGAAGTGTATTCCTCAATCCATGGAGGGTGAAGAGATGACTAACTTTATACTTAAAGTATGAAGAGTAATGGATTAATCATAGCACACATTTTTATTTTTATGGCTTCTTACTTTTATTTAGCTATATGACAAGCCAGCTCTGTCTACTACAATCTAACCTGCACACAAAGCAAGAATTGGATAAGACACCATCACAACACATTAGGTGAAATGCATTCTGTCCTTTGACACCAACACTGAAATAGGCTCTCAGAATATCATTGTATGTGTGGCTACATTTTTTACTGGCAAATATATATATTAGCATCTGAACAGGTTTACCAACTTCCATGTAGAATGCTTTTCTTACAGTTTTACTCAGAATAACTAGGATCTCAATGAAGAAAAAAGTAATAAGAAATTATTAGTAAAAATGATTCATTTGGCCATGCATGGTGGCACACCCCTATCATCCCAGAACTCAGGAGGCTGAGGCAGGAAGGTTTGTTTCAAGTTTGAGACCAGCGTAGGCTACAAAGTGAGCCCATGGCTAGCCTGAAGTGCATAATGAGACCCTGCCTCAAACACACACACACACACACACACACACACACACACACACACACACACAAATGGCTTATTTAGCTTTATTAACAGAGGTAGATTTTAATGAAATTACTTTAATGCGATCAACTTTTTAAAATATAAAAGTGATTTCATTGAAAAAAAAGCCTAGTAAGTTCAGTGGTAAAAGTAAGTTGCCCAGTTTCCTCCTTAGACTAAATCTTTACTGATGGTGTTTTCCCTGGTATCTTTTAGGGTTTTGTACTCTCTGAATTCTGTGAATGAAACCTGGTGGCTTCAGAGAGGTGGGAAGTATGCCCTCTGTCCTGGGGCTCTGCAGCGTAACCCCCACTTCAGTGCCTCACAAAACCTTTACTGTTGACCCAATGAATGTAGGGGATAAGCAAGGTATCCTTGCGAACCTTATTTTTCTACTATACATCTAATATTTTAGGAGAAAAAACCCAAGGCAGATAAAATACTGGGTTGTTGGAAATTTACTCCCTTTTTAAAAAATCAGTGTCAGGTATTGATTTTTACTTGGCTGTTGTCAATGCACGTACACGTACTACTCTGGAATCTGTTTATTTCAAATGATCAGACATTGGTTTACTGCCTCTCTGTGTGCTACAATAACAACTAAACTGATGTATGTGACTATTTGTGACTGCAGTATGAATGAACAGATTTTATTTCAGTCTAAAAACTTCCCTCAATATCTTAATTTCTACATGAAGTTCCTCTCTTTTTTAAATTTGATATGAACATGGCAAAACTTATGGGCAGAGAGATCTAAAGTGTTAGTAAATGACTCGGCCTGTCATCTGGACATGGTTTTGCTTTTGGATATAAAGTGTGAGCTCTCCATCTACTTACCATTTATGGATCTAATGTCCCACATGTGAGCTGTTTCTGGTGGCTGGTCCAAGACACAGAAGGTGAAGGGAAGCCCATAGGAAGAGTCGCTGACGTAGATGAGGACTGATGGAGAGTTAGTGCAGATGATATTTCTTTCTGAGTAGATGACTGGACAGTAATCGTTGACATCAGGAACCTCAATACAGATGGTTCCAGTGGCGGTCTTCCTGGAGCCATCTGAAAAGTAAAGCCACACAAAGGTCCATGCAGGGCAACGCTGTTGGGAGCAGTTCTCTCTCTGTAGCTCAGGGCAATACTGCGGCCTTAGCACCACAGTGACTGACTCGCAGGGCCTGACAGGTGCCTCAGTGAGCTGTTCCGGTCACACTGCCTTCTTCTGAACTTTGTTGGACAGTGTTTTTCCTTATCTCAAGACTCTTGGGCATTCTGTTCACTCTTCCTAAAATGTCTTTCATGTGCATTCAACTTCTCAGTTTTGTTTTCATACCAATTCCTACGCATCTTACGATGGAAAACGAAGACTCCTTCTTCCGAGAAGGCTCACTGCATTGTATTCTCACTGTGTTCCAGTGAATTAGACTCCCCATCAGCAGATAGCCTTCCTTTCAGGATGTTTCAGGATGTCTATCTGGCCTGTGTTTGCCTAAAAGCTACAACTGCATCAAGTGATTTTTACTTTCTGTTGTTGTTGTAATTCTATTTTATTTGTCTAAACTTAACATTTCTGAAAGCAAATCTAAATCTATTATGTTTTTCTTCTCTAATCTATTTGAGACAATTTTTTTGTTAGTGTAATTTACTAGAAAAGGCAGAGGCTAAGTATTAGGGTTCTGGTATATGTTTTGTGATAGTGATAGTGAATAAGTAGTTTTTTTTTTAACCCTGAAAAGAAGTTGAGTCTTCTTACTTGTAATCTAGAACACTACCATCTCTGTGGCACTTTACAAGGTTATTTTCTAAAGAGTTAATAAAGTTCTTTTTTTTTCTTGATCTTTTTTATTTATTCGGCATAGGGTCTTGCTACTCAGCTTGGACTTATAATGATCCTCCTGTCTCAGCCTCCCCAGTGCTGAGATTTCAGGAGTGTGTCACCACACCCAGTATCGGAGCTGGCATAGCATGCGGTACTGGGGATTGAACCCTGGTCCTTATGCTTGCGAGGCAGGCACTTAGACCTCCGAGCTAACTCCTCAGCATGAAATTTTTTTAAAGATTATTTTTTTTTGTGCCTCAGTACTAGTGTGACTGAGTTAATCAAATGATAATAAGCCAGCAGTTCCATCCACACTCTGCATGGCTCTGTACTCCTGTGCTCATAGCTATTCAGTACTGCCCTTTCTAGGCCAATGTGTCTATCCATGCAGTATCTCCCTAGAGAGACATCAGATTCTTGCAGAGACTTTCTATTCCTCATTCTCTGATTCTCGATGGACTCCTGATGTGACAACCGAAGTACGGCTCCTGCTCTCCAGTGCATCTTCTTGTCCCTCTCACTCTGCCTTTTCTCTTGGTGGCGACACATCCTGCTGCAAGCAGAACCATCTGGGTAGCTCTGTGCCAGCGCAGGTGCTCAGCACCGGTGATAAGCAGTGAACTTTTGATTTTCTCCTCCTATGTTTTGGTAACATTTTCTCTCTCCTAATTCACCTTTTGTAGTAGTTTTTGAAGTTTTTCACTCATTGCCAATATGTAAACACTAGATGTGATCAACTTGGGTAAAATCCATTTTAGAAACAGATCTTCTGGAATACTGGTAATAAAACGACAGTATTTTTATATGATGGACCCAGATTTTAACGTAACGTCCTCAGGATAAAGATGTGAGTCTACAGACAAATGGATTAAGTTTATCAGGATTTCTAATGCCGCTCATTTAGACTTGTCTTGATTTGGCTCCTGGAAAGGTCACATATAAACTTAAACCAGACCTGTTTTATATTTGACATGCATTTGGGGCCTCTCTCTTTCCCTTTGTTCCTGGTTGTTACTGACCTTTCTCTGTTTTGTTCTGTAGCAGCTAGTTTCCTAGACACCACTGATAAGTAAATAAATCATTAACTATTGATAAATAAATTCCTGTTTCTATTCACCAAGGAGAATGTGTAATAGATTTTTGCATGTGAGAAATGGCTCCATTCCAGTTAATTCAGTGCATGTGAACTCATGATTTTTTATTTTGGATCTTATATTTGGAATAGCCTTGCACTTTCTTGGTCCATAACAACTTACTATGAATGATATATCTAACCAAGCAACACTCAGTCACATTTGTCATTATAGCCCAGGCACTAACATAACTACTGCTGGGGACACTGCCCCACTGCCAGGTGGTCCCACAGTGAGCTTTGACCACACCCCGTGGCCCTCCTTTCAGGCAAACATTCCTGACATACTCTACAGCTGAGATCAACTTTACTTAAGGGATGAGGTTATAAAAAGAAACTCAATTTTATCTTTACCTCTTGGGTTTTATAAGGTAAGCCAGATATATTTTTTTTTGGAAGTAAGCAAAATAAACGATAACTTAAGTGTAAATTACAAGTGTAACTAAATTTAGTTCTTGATCTGAGGTACTTAGAACTTTAAGTCATGTTCGCACCACTAACTGATGCATTATGCATTATTCAAATATCAAAATTAGAATAATACTATGTATCATGGTTAAAATGTAAGAGCCCACATTTTGTTAACATATTGAAAAGATGTTTTCTTACCATCTATAGCCAGGATCTCTGCTGTGTACATCCCATTGATAATGTATTTTGACTTCTTATCAAATTCCCTAGAAAATTGTATCTCACCAGTCCTTGAATCAACTTTTAACCAGCTGCCTGCATCACGCCCTATGATATACCTGTTTTTGAATAAATAAGTTCATAATTATGTTTGTAGGAAAATTAGTACTTTTCAAATCACACAAGAGCTACAATGTGATCAACTTACATATTGTGTCTGTGTGCTTTGCAGTGTCAATTCTTTTGATTTACATGGGTGATGGAGAAGATGGTTAAGTGTGCTACATGTGTGTTCAATTGCTCAGATTAAACCCATTCATCTGCATAATCAATACACATTAATGAAATGAAAACATAAAATATACCTGTTGATGGAAATCCCATATTAAATATACTAATGCACAGGTTTACAATAGTTTTGAAAGTTCTTACACACACATATATATATATATATATATATATATATATATTGTTTTTTTTTGGTGATACTGGGGCTTGAACTCAGGACCTTGCACTTGCCAGGCAGGCAGGCACTTAGGCCACTGAGCTATAGCCCCAGCCCTACACTTACATTCTTATAGTTCTTAGCATAATTAAAATGTATGAGTTTATTTTGAATCTATTTGTTGCATCACAGCAATATCAAATATATTTTATTAAGGTCAAAGATTACATTTTTATATGTGGGGCCCTTGGTATGTTTACTGTAGAGTTGAGGGCATGTTCTCACTGTGGGCAGATTCAAGAGCTCGAGCGTCCTCTGTTGGCTTCTCTGTTTGGGATTTGTTCCAATGACAGATTATAGTGCTTGACCTAATTGGAAGACTTGGTTCTCTGTACCAGGCACAATTTCCAAACTTTAGTTCATTTATTTGCTACTTTTTCCTTTTTCTCTACTTACTCACTTCATAATTTTCTAGAATCTGTGAACTTGTGAGCTGGTTAAACAGTTAACATCAAAATAATTTATAAGTTAGTAGACTTTCTTCATTCCAAAAACTATTGAAGGAAGGGAAGGAAAGGGAAAGAGATGGGAAGTATGAAGAAAAGAACTATTATTTCCTAAATGATTTCCAGAACATTTCATTAGTCCTAATATCTAATATTCTTTACACTTGCCTTTCTTTTTCTCTGTTATGATTTTCTTTGTCCTATCAAATTTCTGAAACACCTGTGATTTAGATGCTTTCATTGTTTCTTCCTCTTATGTTAAGCAGAGGGTAGAAATGAATAATCAAGTCATCAATACCCACAAGTTTAAGGAAACAGTGACTCATTTTTTATAATATGTTATTTGATGTAATATGGCATAATCAGGCCCAGTCCAGGGTTCTACAACCCACCCCTAAAGATCAAAGTCACTCTTCGAGTAATTTACATAGTTCTTTGATCTTACAATTGTTCTTGAGATACAATCATATAATTGACCACAGCCTTTCCACTCTCTAAAACACTTAAAATACTAAGAAAATTCATATTTTATAATAGTCTTCTGAAACAAACAAGAGGAACAAATCAAAATTCTGAAAGTATTACAACCAACATGTACTAGCACAAACGACATACGTTCACACCGGCCTGATGCAGGCCATGAAGAGGAGCACATTATGGCTAGTACCTGACATCTGTCGCAGGATTTCCTGTATCCAAATCGATGGCGGTGTAGGTGCCAAGCACATGGGTCAGTAAGGAATGTCCTGCTATTCCTTCTCGTATGCTGAACGTCTTGGAACTTGGATGAAACATGGGTCCTTCTCTTACGTTAATAATCTGAATCCTTATGGGTGTCGAGTGCATCCGGAATTGAGAAGCAACAGAGTGGTGGAATTCAGCTTGGTTTTTGACTCCAATGTTAAGAAGAACGTTAGGCATGTCTTCATAATCCAACATCTGAAGTGGGGGAAAGTGAAAGACTGAATCACGGAAGGACCGCTTGGTAGAATAAAGAGGTGGCAAGCAAGCCATACTGTAGAAGAAGGTACAGGAATGATACAAGGTAGACTGTGAATTTAAAAAATTAGTTATTATTGCATTAGATATTTTAGATATTGTCACTATTGTGACATCATCACGTACATAGGTCATTTAAGCCCATGACTTTAAATGGTAGTCCCATTTTGAAGTTTTAAATTTCTTATATAAGAATTCTAAAACAGAATAATGTGTGTTTTAAAACTGTCTATGAAAAATGAAAAATAAATTTAGAATATGATAAAAAATGTTGACAACTGTTATGTGAGTAAATAGGATTCAGACTTCCTTGTCAGACTTTACATCTGAGAATCTCTTGAAGGCATTAGCAACAGAATCAAGGAGCCAGTACGTATGATGCCATTAAACATGTGATTACTTTTTTAAATGATGTAAACAAATCTAAACAAGTCATGATTGTTACAGCCAGCCCTACACTATAATTGCATTGAGGTCTGGAGGACAAGAGTCCTGTATAGGGGTCATTCAGATGAGTAAGTCCCTCACCCCGAGAGAAGCCACCTTTGAACTGAGTTTCCTGGGAAAAGGCAAACAGAATCTTTTTATTTCAGAATGAATGATACAGCAACATGAAAAGTTACAAGTGGACACACCATTGTGCGGCAGGGTGGGCTGGCTAATGTGTCCGCAGTCTTCTGGAAGAATCTACCACTCACAACCCATTTGCCAATGACAGAGGTCAAAATATCGGATCCCTCCCCCCGGGAAATGTAATATCACTGTTGTTTTCTTGGATTTTTAATGGTAAATTTTTCAGAAGAGTTAAAAAAATGTCAGAAATATTTACAGCAATTCATTTTGGTTTTTGTTTGGAATGGCCCAGTATGGTTCACTTGAATTTCATCTAAGATCTGGAGGTTTGAGATGTTGATTTTTTTAATACATGTTTTTATGCATGAGCCTATAATACCTGGTCTTCTGATCTACTGAACATCATGGACAAAGTCTCATGATGCTTAGCACAGAAGTATACATGAATTTAGGTGAATTTTCATCCAGAAGAAATACCTCTTCTAGAACTCAATTTTTTTCTTTTATTTTAAAAGACATTCATTTATTTGGTACAGGGTCTTGCTACACAGCTCAGACTCAGTGATCCTCCTGTCTCAGCCTCCCCAGTGCTGGGATTACAGGCATGTACCACCACGGCCAGTTTCAGTGGCCGGCATGGCATGGGGTCAGGGCAGTATGCGGTACCAGGGACCAAACCCTGGTCCTTGTGCTTGCCAGGCAGGTGCTTAGACTGCCGAGCTATCTCCCTGGCCTCAATTTTTATTTTCTTGAATGTCACATTAACTTTAAACAAAGGAGAAAGTTGCAAAATGTATTGTGAAAGAGAAGTGTCTTGGGATTACTTTTAAGTACACACAAATATACTCTTAATTATCATGTGATCAAGTACATTAATATGTGGCTAAAGTTGTATCAGTTATAGAAATTCACAGACTTTTGGGACAGTAAGTTGATCACAGGCCAATATTCTCTCTAGCAGGCTGGATAACAAAAAACAGTAGCGGAAAGGCAGAAGGTTGCATTAGCACTTTGCCGGCCAGGCTCCTTATCAAGGGTTTCTGATTGTGTCTACAGGGCTATGATTTACAAAGAGTAATATAAACAGTTATTTACTCAGAGTCCTCTCATCAGCTGAAAAGAGAGGCTGGAAGAAAAGCTTGTTCCCTGCCAATCGAAGTATGGCTGGAAAATAACCACTCAGTGAGGTCACGGAAATATGTTACAGGGGCGCTCTGAAACAGGGCTCCGGAGAGAACTCTCCCAGAAATGGGTTAGGCTTCGGGCAGTGTTTTTGCTTCAGTAAAATTTAATGTGGAAGCTAAGCTGTTAGATTCTCACTCTGTTTGTTTGTTTTGTTTTACTTTCTTTCTTTCTTTCTTTTTTTTTTCTACTATGATAAGAGGATCCTGATACATTTAGGGGAATCTTCATACATTTTAGAGCTAAGTATAAAAGAAGTAGGAGACTTGAAATCTCCATCCACAAGGAGTGTTTGTGACAGTTTCATTGTGGCGGGGGGCTGAGGCAATGGTTATTTATCTGGTAGAATGTACATGTTCTACTTTATTAGGAGAGGCCGTTGGGGGCACATACAGGTGGAGGTTTTGGAGACGAACAGATTCCAACAGAAAATCTCAGGGCTCTAGTTCTTTCCTATATCTCCTACCCTAACCCCAATGCATAAACGCAGTACTTAAACAGAACTTTGGAATCAGAGAGGCCTGGTGGAATCATGTCTTTGTACTTTTCCTTCTAAATGAATGGAAACAAGTTAGCCTTCCTCTTTGGTTTTGTTTCACTTGCTAGGAAAGGAAAAGCAATCATTAAATTTTCATCCCAGAGTTGTGAGGATTAAGTGAGGTAAAATATACAAAGCTTCAAGGAAGAAAATATGCCAAATAGTCATGGTTGTACCATAATTGCTCAATAATATTTAGTTAAATGTTTAGTTAAGATTATTGAAGTATGGACAACCAGTATGTTTTGTTAGAATTCCATGTGGTGTTTTGCTTTTTTTTTTTTTTTGATGTTGAAGTGAAAGTGTGGACACACATGTACACATACACATAGACCCTGGGTCAGGTTCTGAAGACAGAGTTGTTTACATGCAAAGCTCTTACTACTATTTTAGTAGTTTGAAAAACATACCAAAACCAAACAATAGTTATGTATTATTAGATGCCATGCTTACTAAGTCAACACTCAAAATCAGTAGCATTCCTATACACAAATAACAAACTCACTGAGAGAGAAATTAAGGGACACCAACTTTTAAAATAGTACTACTAAAAAAGAAGTACTTAGGGATCAACATAATGAGGTTCGAACTCCAGCAACCTGAGGCTGAGGGATCAACATAATGAAGGAAGTCAAAGACCTTTACATTGAAAACTACAGTACTCTGAAAAAGGAGCTCAAGAGGATACCTTGTTCTTGGGTATGAAGAACCCACACAGTGAAAATGGCCATGCTTCCAAAATTCTTACACAGATAGAAAGCCATCCTAAGCAAAATACTAACAGCGTATCTCACAGAATGGGAGAAAAATAACTCTAAAATTCATCTGAAACCTGAAGAGACTGAAAATAGCAAAAGTAATTCTGGGCAACAAAGGCAAGGCAGGGTCATCACAAGCCTTGACTAAAATTATATTACAAAGCTACTGTGAAAAAACCACCATGGCCCTGGCACAAAAACAAATCCCCAAATCAGTAAAACACATTAGAAGATGCAGGAGCAACTCCAGATACACTCAGCCACCCTATCTTTGACAAAGGAGCGAAACACCATCACTAGAAGGAAGATAACATCTCAGTACATGGTGGTAGCAAAGCTGGCTTTCTACGTGCTGAAGACTAGAACTAGAGCTGTATGGTTCATCATGCACTAAACTAAAACTGAAATGGATCAAAGACCTAAATATTAAAATGAAAACATTCAATCTGCTGGAAGATAGACTAGGTTGAACTCTTGAAGACACTAGTGTAGGCAAAGCCTTTATCAACAATGCCAGCCATATAGGAACTACCACAAAGAATCAGCAATTAGAATCTCACTTTATTAAAAAGCT